GTTTTTTTGTGCTGGCCCCTTCCCGGGTACCGTGTCTGCTGAGCTACCATGTACGGAGCCCCGTGGGGCCTTTTTTTTTGCTTTTTCCACCGCGTGCAACCCGGGTGTCATGCAGGATGGGATGTGACATGCACACGGTCACCGCATACACCACGGCGGCACACTAGTTAGACAGGCACAGATATCCATCTGAGTGTGTCGTTTCCCCTTGATTCGTAGTGTGCTTGCTCTCCTTCCTCGCACCGGTTGCGGGCGCCTAAATATAGCCGCCGGTTGCTCTGCACAGGCAGCAGTAGGCTTCTACGCGACCTCCTCTCTCTGCCTGGTCGAGACTAGTACGAATGATCATCCGAACGGTGGTGAGTGCTCCACAACGACACCGTGAGAAATATCTCCTGACAAGTGGCTGCTGTTATTGCATGTATGTGACGGTTGAGATTTGATTTTTTTGTTTTTGTGTGCGAGGTGCCGCTGATGGAGGAGAAGAAACCGCTGCACGTTGCTGTTGCGACGAAACATCACAGCAGTTACGAATTTTGTGAAACGTACCGTATCATATCTTCTCCTTCGGCGTCGAATCGAAGTCCTGTGTCATGAGCTGGTGCTGTCGACGCGAAGCTGCGCCCATGCACACGATTTCAGAAAGGCAACTCATGCGCAGCACTCAGCCCATTAGACGGAATGCTGGTATATATTTGCATGCACGACACAAGTCGTGTGTTTTTTACTACAAAGCACCGCCGCGCTAACCGGCTGACCAATGAAAAGATGTCAGTCTCAATGCGGTTGAAAACACAAAACACTTGTAAATGTCATTAACTGGGATCCCGTGAGGGGGTGGCATGGGGGAGACTAATCTATTCTCCGGATCAAAGTCAGAAACGGTATCAACAGAAGCAAACTGCACACGTGTACGAAGGCTGCTTGCTACCTTGAACTCGAGTTCGTGTGTGTTTGTCCATAGGAAGAGTACCCGCACAGGAATGACTGACTAGTACCAGCTGTACAATACGACCCGGTACACGGGTTTGAAGATCTCCTCTTCGCCTTCAGGGCAGGGCAGGGGCAGTAAAAAGAGAGAAACCCATCTAAGTTTTGAGTTGGCACCGGTGGCGGGAGGTACAGTTCGCCTGGAATCGTTCTTTCCTTCAAATCAACGAAAAAGCTTCAAAAATGGCACACTTCCACGGTAGACTGCTGTGCGTTCGTTGACGTCTGGTTCCGGATGACAAACGAAGCTCCTGCGCGATCAAGGGAGCTTTAATGCATCCCTCATTGTCCCGCCTCCCTGACATGGGACTCAGGCCCGTGTGGCAGCAAGTGCATCTTACGGTTCGGTAAGAATATCGACCGATGGCAAGTCATGAGACGTCGCAGGCTTACGCAAAAAATAAGCTGGACAGAGAATGCCGGGGGCATGGCATGTGCAAACATAGAATATGTGCATCAAAAGGTGTTGGTGTTTACGCAGACCGTCCCCCCCTGCACCTGAGCTCTCGAAAAGAGCTTACGGCGCAAGACTTGCCGAGAAACCGACGCAGTTGCACTAGTCGACAGAGGAGGGAGTGCATGGAGTTACCCATGTGGCAAGGAAGTAATTGATTCGCAGGAGAAACTGACGAAAATACGGAGAGGGAGAGAGAGAGAGAGAGAGAGAGAGAGATAGTCGGGGTGAGCATGGGCGATGCAATCAATAGGAGTGAGGAGACCATATCTCCCTTCCTATAGGGGGGACGCGCGATGGCCAACACAACGCGATGGGCAAGACAGGTCACAAACAGAGGGGGATGTGTGTGTGTCTGAGAGAGAGAGCGCGCGGGTGTTGGCATCCGATTTGTGCACGTCAGCATTACACGTTCCGGTATTTAGTCCTCTCGAGGAAACGAACGACCATTTGTGAAACTTCGGAAGAAACTGATCCTCCTCCCTCCTCCCCATCCACACACGCCCACGCGCCACGAGCAACTGCTGTCGTGTATGTACCCCACCAGGCATGGTCGATCGCCGTGTTTGTGTTAGCCGGGCTCTGCGAGATAGGCGGTGGCTGGCTGGTGTGGCAGGCGGTACGCGAGAAACGACCAAGGTGAGACGGCGATCGAGTTTCCCCTTTTGTTGTTTCGATTATGGCGTGAGACGAAACACGGAGAAGAGTGACTGACTTGCCCAGGATTTCCTCGTCGTTCAAAGACAAGCAGAGGAACAAGAAACAAAAAAAAAATGTTGATGGACGTTCTTTTTTGCGGGACTTGTTCTCGGTACAGCCCAGCTACAACCTCTCTACAGCCGCGATCGTACAACTACTGTAGTTGTACACTTTCGTTTGCTTTGGAGCTCGCGTCGTGGCCTCGACTTGTCTTTTATCTCCGGTGAGGTTATTTAGCTCGGGAGAAGACGTGCAGGACAATGGCCAGAATATCTTCTTCATGTCGCAATCGACCTAGCAGACAGACCAACGACCAAACACAACCGCGCCTGAGATCGACACCCTCCCCGACCTCCGGCCCGGATCGGTAAATTCCCGTGGCAAAGCAGGTGGTGGATAATCCCCGGGGTGCTCTTACTCGCGGCCTACGGATTCGTCACGCCGGGCTTGCTCCCGGACGTGTCGTCGGCCGAGTTCGGGCGGGCGTTCGCGGTGTACGGCGGCATTTTTATCGCCATGTCTCTTGGGTGGGGCGCTGTATTTGACGGTTTCAGGGCAGACGCCGGCGACTACGCCGGAGCGTGCGTTGTGTTGGCCGGGGTCGCCGTCATGTGGTGGTACCCTCGGTAGCGGAAGACAATGACGTGTTTTATTGTTTCCTTCCCTCGTCTTTGGTCGGCGAGTGTTGATTTGTCTTTTGTGTTTCGTGCGGTAGCATGTGGTATTGCTGATTTTGTCGAGTGAATTGTATGGTGTTGTGGGGGAATCGCCTACACGTCCCTGCTTCCCCTTGGGTGTGAAACCACGCGAAGAACTTTACCGAATGTTTGATCTTCGCGTGTTGCCTTTGGTGGCCAGGAGTAAATGTGCCGGCGTTAGCTCGTGTAGTGTACCTTTTGCCCACCCATGTACCTATGCTTTATCTTGTCCCGCGGTACTTCATTGGGTCATTGCTAGTGCTGTCGTCGTCGTCGTCGTCATTGGTTGTTTGTTATTGCCTTCGCAAATGGATGGAAAAAGTTGACATACTGTGTATATGAGCAAACAAACCTAGCTCGGCTCTGAATAGCCCAAATGTTTTCCTTTTCTGAGGGCCACGGTACCAGTTCATTTCCCTTGATTTTTTTTTTTTTCAGTCGTATGTGCTGGAAGGTTAGCCCGCTCTGGATGAACAACAAAGCACCATGTAAAGAGACGCTGTGTATTCCAATCTGAGTTTGTAGACCTGTTCGCTACCGAGTGGGAGCTGAGGTTCCCTTCACGCAGTTGGCAGAGGCACTTCTTCCGCCTTATAGGCTGACGAAAATATGTTGTGTTTTTTTATGATATGTCTGCGGGAGGTCCGCGTTAATATTTTTCAGTGAAGGTGAAGCGGGTGCGTATCATTGGACGGGTGGTGCCGCTTACGTGCTCGTGACCTCTGGACTGCGCCAGAAGCAAACACAGGCTGACACAAAGGCTGCGTCGCGTATTTTAGGTCAGCTTGGGCAAGTACAGCCCCGTGATAGATGGGACGAAAACGAAGCGAACGGTTGGGAACGGTGCCGCATGGACGACGGCGGCGGCGGCGACATGTATTTTGGGGGCAGGACCGTGCATGTATTTCGCGCGCGCGTGTGTTGATCGATCACCGGTCAGCGTTCAGAGAGAGACCAAGCGAATTGCTTCGAAGTCGCTGCTGTTGTCGTTGTTTTGTTGTCTTCACATTAAAAACGGATTCGATCTCCGTTTAGTACCTCCTAATGTCCGTACTGGTCCAACTGACGCGGACGCCTTCCGTGGTTGCAAGCTACCCGAAGTAATATTACTACAACTGCAGTAGTAGTATTTGCTGTAGGTGAACACGTTTGACATGGATGTCCATACGACGATGTGACGAACTGCTGTTGAGCGATTTCAAAGCTCAAATACTCCACAACAGAAAGGGTGGCGGTGCGGAAAATTGTGGCGTTAGAAATGTCTCATCAACAGCATTGAAACAGATCATCAGATTTTTATGCGTCCTCTTTCCGTTGAGGACTTTTCGTGCTTTGAAGTCGGTCCTGGGGGAGCGTGGATCTTGTGTGTCACCTATGGCATTTTTCCGAGAAAGATATTTTGGCCACACAAAATGGGCAAGATCGCTGCTTTGTCAGCGGGAGCACCACAAGAACTCTTCAGCCAGTACTTAAACAAAGGACAAGGTGCACACAAGGCACTTACCTGTACCGTCCTCGTCGTCGCTTCCCACGGAGGCTGGATAATAGCTACTAGACTTGGAAAGGCGGGGCGCGGGGCGCGGGGCTGCGTGGTCCGAGGTACGAACCCATCTATTGATCCGAACCGTTTTTGGAACCTGACGATCATGCCGGTCCGCCGTCAACTCAAAAAGCAGCACATTACACAGCGACACACCCGCCTTCTGTTCCGTCCTTCGTCTCCAATTCAGAGGGGTGTGTGGCGGGTCCGAGACTCTTCCCTATTTCCCCTGTGTCGGCGGCAGCCCCCTTCGTCCAACCGCGCGGCCAGGGATGCCGGAAGCGGAGCGAAGAGAGGTGGACGCGACGCTGAGGGGCCTGGGCCCCAAGTATCAGAGGCAGCTGAGCGTGAGCACCTCGAACGCGTTGGAGAGCTTCGCCATCCTGGAGGTGAGTGGTGAGACGATGGGCGCCGAGGAGAGCGGCTGCCCATTCTCCGCGCACAAGGGCAATTAGCGAGAGGAGTTTCAGCCCACAACAGAACTGTCAGGAATCACGCGCCATAAAGAGATAGAGAGGTGTCAGCCGGTGGTATGTCATGGTTGATTCTTTTGGGCTAGACGGCGAGACTACAATAATTTCGCAAGCTGCCCGGCGACCTCCAAACCCGCGTCCATGAGCCTCATGCAAGAATCGCGACACAGCAGTAAGGGAAGGACGACAGCTCCAACACCGTGAGCTGGATATTGCTTGTACAGGGGACACACTCGAGCGCGCACACAGCAGTTTCCCCCGGGACATTGCGTCGGACACCACCGCGGTGGATTAGTTCCGTCGATTGCGGGGAAAATGCGCGCGGGAGAAGCAGGGAATAGCTGCTGCGCTGTTGCGGCTGCTGCGGCTGCGGCTGCGGCTGCGGCTGCTGCTGTTGCTGTTGCTTCACGTACAATTGTTTCACTTTTGCACACTTTGATACTGCTAGCCATCGCTCTTTTGCCAAGGTTTTCGAAGACTGCCAACTTGAGCGTCCCTGGCAAGCAGGTTTTGACACGGGAAGATGATCGTTGGCTTCCTTCCCACAACGTTTCCGAGAAAAAGAGGAGAGCAACACGCCCGCGGGGGAGGTGTCACTTGCAAGGTGTCACAGAATCTTGTGCAACTAGTTGTCCAACTCCTGAAGTCTCAGAATGGTGTGCAACTACCGTAATCATCGGGGTCTTGGCACATTCCGTGTATGACACAAGATAACACACTCCCTGGACTGATTTTCAAAGCTCGATTACGCCACGACGAAGAGGATGCATAAACGAAAGGATACCTTTTCGAAAAGCTCTCGACGAGACGGTTTCAACGCCGCCGTTTTCGGCGCTGTAACTGTTCCGGCATTTGAGAAATCGAGCTTCGAAAATCGGTCAAGGGGGTGTGTTATCTTGTGTCATATATGGCATAGGGGTCTCGGCACATATCGGGGTCTTAACACAGGGTGTGCGGAAAAAAAGCGGGTTCCGAATGATTTGCTGGATTATCGCACAGGTATCGTCGTCTGCGCACACTGTGCGGAGACCACGATATGTGCGGTGACGTTTGGCGGTAAGTGACACCCTTTCACCAGCATTTTGTGCTGGAAATTCCGGATACTGCTGTGGGAGCTTGAATCGCGTGCTCCACCGACAATGGGCGCTCAAACGAAACCACAAGCCACCAACCAATGGGGCGGGAGAGGGGCAGGAGACGGTCGAGACGGCGAGGGAAGAAAGCAAACGAGAAGAGACGGACCGAGTGGCGCGATACGTGCCGGCTTGAATTTCTTTTAGCCAATTCCCCAGGGAGATGTTTGAGGCATGGAATAGAGAGGAAAGGACGGTAGCTGTAGTGGGGCATAGGAGGTGGGTTGAAAAGGCGGGAAGGGATATCGTTAGGATAGACAGACTAGGGAAGACATTTTTGAGCCACCTTTGGCAAAGTAGAAAGGAACGATTGGCCATCGGTGATCGGTCCTGTGGGAACAATGCTCCGTCCTCT